AACGTTCTCTTGGTGTGGCTGGCTGTATACAGTGCCCGCACGATGGCACTTTGGGCAGCAGCACTCCTGCCCACATTACAGCTCTCAGCCTTCTTCGGCAACATCCTTTTCACATTGTTCTACCTGAGCGGAGGTTTTGTGATAAGCCTGGAAAACCTCTGGGAAGGTAAGACAAAGCTCCCATCATCCCTCCGAACTGGAGCATTGATGGTTTTTGTTAGTGACTGGTGGCTGTGAGGCTGAGTGAGTCCTGTGCAGGAAAGCTCAGCTTTATTCCCACCTTCGCTATTATTTTCTTGGGTGGTGACATTGGAGTGAGATGGTTCATTTTACATCGGTTTCTCCACCTGGAAATGAGGTAACAATAAGTTTGGTCAAAAAAAACACTAGTGAAGGGCTGGATTGTTACATGATCTCTAAATTTCTCAGTAAAACTAATTACATTCAGTAGATGAAGACTGAGCTCCAGTGAAACTTTGTTGACAGCAGGAGTTCAATGAGCCTCAACTGGAGCTTTTTCATAATTTTCCATCTGTACAGAACAATATAAAGTATATTCACTATTTTGTTAAATAATAAGCTGTTCTGTGTTTACAGCCTTTGGTTGTCAAGAAAATAGATAAAACTGCTATATTTGGCAGCAACACAGGAGCTTTTGAGATCTCAAGTAAATTTTGTGTATGTATATAAATTTCTTTCGTTCTTTTCTTTTTTCCAGTTCCATCTTGGTTTTCTAAAATTTCTTTCCTCAGATGGACTTTTCAAGGCCTGATGCAAATTCAGTTCACTGACATGACGTATGAATTCACTGTTGGAAATATTACTTTTTCAATACCAGGGAAACTTGTAAGTCACTAATAAAAACTGTTACAAATGTTTGATAAATAGCATTCTAATTAGTTATATGCCTGTCGTATTTAAGTAGATGTTGTAGGCCTCATATTTGGCAAGCATTTAATTTGTGAAGTCCTGTTACACTTCGTATATTTTAAATTTGTCTCTACAGATGTCCTGACTGCAGTCACTCCTTTTATCCCTTTATTTTTAGTGGGGAAAAAAAAAAAAAAAAGAGGCAACTATTCTCTTCGCAAACCCCACTTATGTGCTTGCCAAAATTGTTCAGAAGCTGAACTGTTTTCCTCTGAAACACCACAGCCACTAGACATAGTGTAGCTGTAACCAGCTATCAGACCACTCTGAAAGTAACATCAAGACGGAAAACGAGGAAAGAGATGTCAGGGACCAGAGAAGTTCACACGTAAAGCACACGTCACAGATCCAGCGTGAAAATGTTGCGTCCGTTCCTAATTTTGTATTTTCTGTGGTTACAGATCACTGGCAGTCTGGATATGGACTCCCAACCTCTCTGCACAAGCTATCTCGTCCTGGCTGGTATCATTTGCAGCTTCCTGCTTTTATACTACTTAACTCTGAGGTTCATCAAGCAGAAATCACACCAAGACTGGTAACGGCAAACCCTTACCGAGGAGGCAGCAGGTTACAGCGTCCTTTGCAAGCAATCAAGGCAGGCTCACAAGCTGATTTTTGGTCACCCCCGCCTGCAGCCGCGCAGGGGGAGAGCAGGTGCCCGCCCGGCTGCCACGGGATGGCAGCAGAACACCAGGAGTGGGACAGCAGGCTCTGAGTCTCCACGGAGCCTGCCACAAACTGGGGCTTCAGCCTGGGCATGGCTTTTGGGGCTTGTTTTGGGGCTTGCTTTATTTTATTTTATTTTTTTTAAATTGTTTTGCTTGTTAGTTTCTTTGTTTGCCATATGGGTTTTATAGGTGGCAAGACGCTTCCGAGTTCTCCACGCCTCGAAACATTCTGAGCTTATCAGGCCACTGATTTAAAAGGACTCGTCCCACTTTGTAATTGCTGCTGCTTTAGTCCGTAATGTTTGAACATACAGTGATGACACACTTAATTCATGGAGCTCCGAGAAGCGGGATCAGCACACACAAAGCACTACTTTCTGTAGCATGTATAACATCCAGCACTCACAAGAACAGTGTCGAGGAAAGCAACGCAAAAGATTTCACTGATGCTTCAGGAGAACATGCAAGGACAGAAAACACAACAGCTAATGATTCTGTCTTGTTTCTACTTGCATATGTGTTTTAAGGCTTTGCCTTTGTGTTCCAGTTAGATGCTGTTGATGCCCAAAATGTGTATTTTTCTCTCACTGTACAGATGATTTGTCGTAACGGATCATTTTAAGTCATGTTCTTGGATTTATTTCTACAGCATAAATACATACCAATGGATTGTTATTAATCACATCTTTCTCCACAGCAATAAAATCACAGCGACTTGCCAAGTTTGGTTCCTAAGGTTCTCAGGTAGAAAATATCAACCTGCCCCTCCAGTAATTCAAAGTCTAACGGTGCAATCTATGAAACGCTTGTAATTGTGCACCTAGTTACGCTCAGCCTTGAGACACAAATACTCAGAAAACAAGCAACAGTAAATAAACAGCTGTAATTCACACACAGCCATGGTAAGTGCACGTGCAGATTAAGTGTCCAGTTCTTGCAAGCATTTCAGGAGACAAACTTGCTTGATTTTAAATGTTTGGGTGCATATCTCTGTGCTTACATACAGAGACCCAAAGCACATAATCTACTCTACTTTCATTTATATGTTTCACACAGTGAAAAACTCCTAGAGAGATCGGCTGTAATGCCCCAGATACTGTTATGTAAATACTTTTTTCTTTTTTAAGGGAATAAGAATGGAAGGATATCACTATTTTATTATTCTATTTCGCAATTAGGGATGCCACACTATTTTCCACAGGTTCCACGTGGTAATAAATTCCCAGGAAGACACTAGTCTAAAGATGTTAAGCAGGTCTGATAAGACAGGAGCTTCAGTCCCAGGAAGCGCTAGGAATTCAAAACACTCCAAGGTTTTTCTAAGGTGAATTCTACCATTTCTTTCTGGTTCTGCTGCAATTCATTTGAGAAAAAAACCCCACTTGATCTGATCCTAGAGCCATTTTGAAATTATCAGATTTTCATTGCCTTTTAATGGCAAAGCCAATTCTTTCAGTCCAATTCAGCATCATTAAATTGTCAGAATAGCAGCTTCCTGTTTGATTCTTAATTATTCCTTTTTATTATATTTAAGACACTTGATTTTTTTAAAGTGGTTTACTCTTCTTTGTAATGATCTGTTGTGATTAGAATCTCTTTTATATTACACTGAAGTTTTAAGAGTATATATTGGTACTTCTAGCCTAAACCTCTATTTTCAAGGTATTTAGAGGATTAAATTCTAGGCTGACTCTCTGTTGTGAATTCACTTTGATGTTTAATAAAAAAGGAGAGACACAATGGGAGAAATTAAAGACGTAAGGGACAGCTCTGAATTTTAGGGGCATATTGTCACGCACAGAAATCCTCAGGCATCTAGATAAGAATATACCATAGCCTTAACTTTGAATTTCCTTCCTTTTGTGAAATTAGTCAGGCTGCTGACATTACTTAAACAGCCTTTTTCAATTTAAAATTCCACCCTCTTAACATTATGCAGCAGGACCAAACGGCGTGAGTGTTTCAGAGGTGGTGTTATGACAAGGGGAGATGTATACATAATGGGGACTTGAGCGGTGAGCCTAGGCACAGCCATCGTATGGAGTGTAGGAAGAGCTATCATAGGATGCGGCCAGGCCTGTGTTTACACAGAAAAAGCTCATATTCTATATACTACAATTACATTAGCACGCTGCCTATGATCATATCTTGTTTCCTTGATGCCTAGAGATGGGGAATATAGGCTGTGATTATTGTTACAGGCTTTAGCAATAAGAAGATAGGAGCCTTGAAACACCAGCAATTAGCGTTCACGCCTAACAATAGCACGCCGTGGGGCTGTGTACGGAGAAGAGCACGGGGAAGAGTGGGTGGATGACACACAACCTGCCCCGCTCACGCTACTGGGAGTTGGAAAAACAGCACAAGTTTAGGGGGAATGACGCACCTCTCAGCCAGTGAAGGCCACGCTGTACGCTCTGGCCTCTGCGTCCATGTCCCGCTCCACGTTAGCTGTGAGCGGGAAAGGTTTCACACTTCCACAGCGGAGCTGCTGCTGCAAAAACGAGTGGTTAGCGAGGGAAGAGAAATCTTCCCGGGAGCTCTGACCAAGGCTAAATGTTGTAATTTAATTTCAGCACAGCTTTGCTTTCCAAGTTTGAGAGTAGCCCTTTCTTTTCCTTAGAGTCCCCTGTGTCAGCGGCAGCTCAGTGTGCCCTCCTGCCTGCGCTGCCTGTATCCGTACACCAAAGTTACGGCAGTCCACAACAACCACAACACAAAGACCGAATACTGCAAGGCAAGACACTGCACAAAACTCATTGTGCTGCCCCTTCCACACACACAACGGCCTTTAGTTTGTTACTTAAGCACTGTGGTAAGGCAGATCTGCCATTCCAGCAGAGCACTGCCTGCCACTCCGACAACGCTGCCTGTCCCGAGGATTCACCCACTATGGTCTTTGCTCTCCTATATCCTCCCTGGCCAGGTTCGGAAAAGATCTCCTCACCTCTAAGTCACGGTCCCTGCTACTGCAGGCAACCAAGACAGTGCAAAAATGGTTTTGAAAAGGCACCATGTTTATTAGGTCGCAGAGTTCCTAAGTTGCTTTGCCCAACTGCGCTTTGAACTGCCCAGTGCTTGACCTATTTGCAAGAGGCTGTGGGGTTTCACTTTCCACACACATCAAATTTGGGAATGGGAATACAAGCAAGGATGATATTTGTAAGAAAAATTCACCAAATACAGAATAGATAATAAAAAAAAGAAAAAATCATCTGTGTTGGTTACATGGATACTATAAAAATAAAGCAGTCTGTGGACAACAGAACCGTATGTTCCTCTAGTACCTAGAGATGTTGTCTTATCCATAAAGAAACAGTAAAGAAAAATTTGTCTTTGTTACTTAAAATATTTAAGACAAGGAGAGGTGGGAAGTTCTTCCCCAACCTCCACTCCAAGTTTATGCAGTCTCTCCACTTGGCAAAAGGGACAAACTTTTTTAGCACTGGAAAATGTATTATAGAAACACTGCTTTGCATATTGGCTTATGGGTAGTGGCAGTCCTCCAAAATACTTTTAACTCGTCGTTTGCAAAGGACTAGCTTTCACTCTGGCTAAGCTAAATTAATAAGTAGCTGTTGAAAGTTTCATCTCATATTTGTTCACTGCAAAATGCATTCAGAAATGTTAAATAAGTAACAAGTATCAACAGTCATCCCATTTACTTAAAAAAAAAAAAGCCATGACATTCCTTTTTAAAGAAAAAAAAAAATCACAGACAATATGCTATGTAAGGAGACTCTACAGACAAGAAATTCCAGGTGTTGGTATGTCCACTTGTACCAGGAATAACAAACCTTTCTGGTTTTAACCACAACGATTAATTTTAATGGCAGTAGACAAGAAACAGTGTACATGGAGCTCTGTGACGTGCTGCTTTTTTTTTTATGCTCTGAGAGCCAAGACAAGCCCTTCATATGTTAGCAGCTATTAATTAAGGCAACAATGTTTAAGCAGTGGTTTGAGGTAATTTTAAAACCGCTTAACCCTTTTAAGAACTGAAGTGCTTTAAAAAGCATATATATATATATAAGTGTGTATGTTCATATTAATATGTAGAGGTATGTGCATGAATAGATTACATGTATATGTATATACACACAACTGTAATGCCTATGATAGCTCAAATTTTTTTCAGGGAATATTTAAAAAGCAATTCAGACCTATAAATTTATATAAGTGCCGTTACCAATTTATATAATTGATTATAAAACTGTTTGCTGATGTTGTTGTTTTGTCATTAAACCAAATTTACGTCTATTTTGAATTGCAACTTTCATTGGCATCATTTTGCTTTCATGGTCATCATTTGATACTTTCAATGCTTCCAGTGTTAAGAAACCACAACTTAACAGATCCCCTCAACCTTCGCATCATGGCTCCAGAACCAGCATCTCCCATCCACACCACATTTGGATCTTTTGCTCCTTTTTAAGCATCTAAACAGAGTTGTATTTTGCTGAGATTCCTGGCATATCTCAGTACCATTTCTGCCTCATCTTGATTTTTCATGTTTAACAAGTGGATTTAGAGGCATAAATGTTGAAGTATTGGCCAGAACCGATATGGTGAGTAAATAAACAATGATACTTGCCTCAAAAATAATTTGCATTTTGTACACAAGCAAGTTAGCCCAAAAATAGTCATCTACTACTTCAGTATCAAATTTTCAGGCAAATGCATAGCAATTGGAAAACTATGAACGTTCACAAGTATTCAAAACCAAAATGTACAGAGCCTTGTGATGATATACAACTGTACTAGTTAACATCATCATTCTTCAAGACAGTACCTTTGCTCACTTTCATTTACTGGGGGCTGGGGGAAGAGTTTATAAAACAACAGAAACATTTTTAAAATAAAAAAAAAAA